ATCTGGGCTATCTGATGACAGAATCGTGATTAAACTTATGGTAAATTTCATGTCGGGGACAGCTAGCCGCTTCTTCATGAAGCATGTAGCTAATCACCAGCGAGACTGGACAGTTGAGCGCATTTTCGAAGCATTATTTGATTATTGCTTTCCGATTGATTATAAGCTGAAATTGCGAGAACGATTGATGGCGTCGCACCAAGGCAGCCACAACGTTCGTGACTTCGTTCGAGATATTCAGTCGTTAGCCTCCCGCTTTCCTGATATCACTGAAAGACAAATTGTTCAGATATTTTGGGAAGGGGTACATCAGTATATAAGGCTAAAATGGATCGACAAGGGGTACAGCCCAGAAGATACCAGCTTTAAGAAGCTTGTAAAATGGGCTATACGATTTGAAGCGTCCAATGAAGCACGTCGCCGCGAAGAACGGGAGTTCCGCGGGAAACCTAAGGGCCGTGAGTGGGGCCGTTTCCAAGCACGAACCAGCGGAAACACACCTCATAAGCCGGCAGCGCAAGCTGAATCAAGTAACTCGAGCAACTCGAGCAATCGACCTTCAAGGAATGAGAAAAAGGCATATAACAATACCAACCGAGGCGACCGAAAGCCTCGCGATCGTTCAAACAAGATATCGAAAGATGAACGAGACCGTCTTCGAGCCGAAGGACGCTGCTTCTCTTGCAAGGAAGCAGGTCATGAAAGTCGGAACTGTCCCAAACGCCACGAGGCAAAAGCGCCTAGGCTCGGAGCAGGTTCCATCCGTTTTGCTGAGCTAGAGACCCTTGCTAAGCAGAAGCATGATGCGACTATCGAGGTTTCATCAGTTATCATGGATAGCGAACCTGGTCCAAGTAACTATAACCACTTACCTAGCAATGGGATCTGGTCTCGCGCCCATGTCGAGGACTTGATGCAGTATATTCAGGTACTCTGGACCAGCGCGTTTGACCCTGTCGAAGCCGTAAATGGTGGCTTGGACCCCGAGGGAAGGTTTACTTGCCTGGACTTCGGTTATGGGATCGAAGTAACTGACTGGTTAAAACCGGAATTACCTTACATGGTCATGAGGGAGCAACTAGACAACCCTAACTTCAGCATCCAGGACCACATTGAAAAGGCTTGGGAAACGTACCTTCAGGACCTGAAGGATCATCCCCGGAAATCCACCGGTTATTGCGGCCCAGAGCCGGACTTCGTTACGAGTCCTGAGGTACGAAGGACGAGTCCTTACGCGCAAAATATGCCTGCGTGCCGAACGTTGTACCCCGTGAGAACCTTTTGTGCCGAGAAGTTGTGGGAGTTATAGTTTGTATTGTAGACTACACTTTTGAAACTCCGGTTGAAAGTCCGTTTGTATGTGAGACTACAAAACCACTTTTGGCGCGTTTTTGTAGTCTCTGTGACCATTATTTGCTCGTTTGCGGGCTCATTTCTTTCGTCTTATCTCTCTTTTATTTTCTCTAGTCCTGGGTGTATGCTATACGGGTCTACCAAAATATTTTGGTGAATTTATCGACTGTGTGTCTTGTCCTAGTCCGCATGGCGGTTTTACTTTTATTGCTTATCGTGGGAATTGACTATTGTAGTGGCTTGTAGTCAGTGGCTGAGGTGCGGGCCGCGTCGGTTTGGATTCCTGGACTCTGATTGCCTGCCTTCTATGACATAGGCTCTCTGCAGGTTCACCCGATCTGCAGAGCCATTACATCATTGGTATCTGGAATTGATTGCAGGCTGTAGAAGGGCCAGAAAAATTGTGAAAAATGCGGGAAATCCATAATATATTCAGAGCTCTATAGCAAATTGATGAAGAGTTATGGAGGCAGCAGCACGCACAGTGCGCCCTACACAACTCACCTGTATTGGTTGGATGCTGTAGCTACTGGTAAAGCTTCGTATAAACGACCCTTGTCATTAGGCAGCAGAGCTGCAGGGTTTATATACACTGTGGCCCATAGGCTGACTAAGCTACGTGGAATATCTATAATCCTACTGAGCTCCACCTATGATGTCACTGACCCACATGAGCTCCGTGCCATTGTACAATAATGGAATATACCAGAATGTTCCAGAGGGTTCTGGTACGTTCTGGTATGTTGTAGAACCTGGCAGCTAAGTCAGCGCCCAGTTCAACACTCCCCCTCGCTAAGTGCCGCGGATAATCGCGCACGCAAGCGTTGGGCTGACTTAGATTACTTGTAGAACCTAAGTCCGAGTTGCGCTCTGAAGCGCAGGAACTTGACATGTCCTAAGTTCTTAGTGAACATGTCTGCAGGGTTATTCTCGCCATCGATGTAGAATACTTCAACTTTCTTCTGCTCGATGACTTCCCTGATATAGTGATAGCGAATGTCAATATGTTTAGACCTTCGCTCGGTGACAGGATTAGATGCAAGGAATATAGATCCTTGGTTGTCACCGCAAATAGGAATGGGGCCGAGTTGGTAGCCTAACTCATCAAAGAGTTGTCTAACCCATACACATTGGCGGCTACAATCACTGAGCGCCATGTACTCGGCTTCAGTGGAGGATAGCGCAACAGTTTTCTGCGCTCTCGACTGCCAACTGAATATGCCATTGGCTAATTTAAGGAAGTAGCCGGTTTGGGACTTCCTGGTACTGGGATCTGATGCCCAGTCCGAATCAGTGCACGCAGTAATACCAAGTCCACTAGCGCCATCAAAAGCTAGTGTGTAATTCCGAGTCCCGATTAGATAGCGGCAGATGTACAGCGCTTTATCTAAATGGGCTTGAGATGGATTAGCAGCAAATTGCGCTAACTTGGTAACTGCATAGCTGATATCTGGTCGAGTTCCAAGCATAATGTAGAGCAAGGAACCGATCACGGTTTGGAACCGGCTACGAAGAGTAGGATTGACCGGGCCATTGTGAGGTTCAGGTCGATAGCCTGCAGGGAGAGGAGTTGGTGCAGATTTTGCATTCTGCATGCCACAACGCTGCAGCACTTTATCAAGGTAGGCGATCTGATCGAGATGAATCTCTCGGCCTTGCCTTGTAATGCGCATGCGTAGGAATTCCTTGACATCGCCAAGGTCCCTGCATTCCCACTTCTTCATGAATCGTGACTTAACATCTGTCACGAGAGACTTGTCCTTGCCAAAGAACAAGGCATCGTCAACATAGACAACAATAATTACCATGCGGCCATCCTTCTCCTTAAATAAGAAGATGCCAGCATCGGTAGTTAGACGTTTGCAGCCTAATTTCTCCAAAGACTCAGCAAGTGTGCGCCACCAGGCAAGCCCCGCTTGCTTAAGTCCGTAGAGTGCACGGCGCAGTCTACAAACCTTGTGCTCCTGGCCTTTTACGGCGAAGCCTTCAGGTTGTTCCATATAAATTTCCTCATCCAGTTTGCCATAAAGATAGGCATTGCGCACATCGAGTCCAGATATGTGCCATTCCTCAAGCGCTGCTAGCGCAAGCATAAGGCGCACTGTCTCAAAGCGCACAACTGGTGAGAATATTTGGTCGAAGTCTATGCCTTCAACCTGCGAGAAGCCTTTAGCGACTAATCTCGCTTTGCGACGTCCATCTGATTTGACGTCAAATACCCAGCGACATTTTATGACTTTACGCCCTTTAGGGCAGTCAACCAAGTCAAAGACTCTGCGCCGACGAAGTGCATCCAATTCTTCGTGGCAAGCAGCTCTCCATTCCTTCTGCTTCTCTGGTGGTAAGCGAAGGATATCGCGGTACGTTCATTCTCTGACATTGGACGTGTCTGGATCATCTGCCTCGGGCGAAATAGCCTTCAGAAGCAGGTAATTAATTAGTGGTACTCCCCCTTCCCGGCATAGCTGTGCCAGAAGTAACTCATCAGCGTCTTGTTCAGACCGCTGGTCAGAGGCTTCAGGAGCGATTGGCTCATGCGAAGCACCCGGGGATTGAGCAGGAGGGTCGCGAGGTGGAGGGGCAGAGCTAGGTCCGGGAACCTGTTGCTTCTGCTTGGACTGGCGAGGTATGCGAGACGTCTTAGATTTTTCGCCAACTAAATCCTTCCACTTCTTGTCTGACTCAATCTCGCGATAGGTTTCTACGGGATTCCGCGATTCACCATAGATATTACCCGGGCGAGTTACTGGTTTCCTTTCTCTCACCGGTCTCCGCGGCTCATCTTGTGGCGCAGGATCCCCCGGAGGTGGAGAAGGCGGGTTCTCAGGCTCTCGCGCCTCAGGCTGCGCAGGTTCGTCGTCACGATCCTGGCCTGGCCCCTTTTGGGATTTAGGAGGAGGATGTGAGTCTGGCTCATCGTCATCAGTGATCCAGTCATCATCAGAATTTTCTGGTTGACTGTCAGCTGGTTTAGGCGCACTTTGCAGCCTAGTGCTTGCTCGTCGCTTTGTATTAGGGCATTTAGGGAACATAGTTTCGTCAAACAGCGCAGTCGGCTGAGTGACTATACTATTATTGGCGCGCATGAACTTGAAGCCATGGCTGCCATCAGCGACACCAATGTAAGTCATCAGCTCAGCTTTAGGCGATAACTTATTGGGTCTGGTTTCCTTTGGCAGGTAGACATACGCTCCGCATCCAAAGACACGTAAGTGCTTGATGTCGGGAGCTTCTTTGTTCAGGACCTCATAAGGAGTCAGCCATTGATGGCGCTTTAAAGGGGTCCGGTTGTAGAGGTGAACAGCATGGTCTACTGCAAATTCCCACCAAGATGGAGGTGAGCAGGACTCTAGCCGCATTGACTGCGCTTTGTCCATTATAGTCCGAATAAAGCGCTCAGCGCGACCATTCTGTTGGTGCGCATAAGGTGCGCTCTGTCGGATTTTTATGCCCTCATCTCTGAGCATCTCGATGAACGCATCAGATTTGTATTCTCCCCCTGCATCGGACATCCACTCCTTAATTTTCCTGCCATATTGATTTTGTACGTAGGCTAGGAATTGACGAGTCTTAGCAATTGCAGCACCCTTGGAGCGCATATGCATGACCCATCCATAGGAGGTGTAATCGTCAAAGAAGACAATTGTGTACCGATACTTATGGTAGGAGTCTACGGGAAATGACTTAAGATCCGAATGAATTAACTCAAATGGTTCTTTAGCCCGTAGAGTGAATGGCGGGAAAGCCTTAGAAGGCATTTTCCCTTCCGCACATCCAGGGCATACTGGGTCTTCCGATGGAAACTCCAGGTTGGTGGGGAAACCTTTGGTGTGTTCCCTAGCTTGCCGCAGGACTTCCTTAGAGGGGTGTCCCATGCGACGGTGCATAATCCCATAATCGACCGCATAGATCGTTGGGAATATAGAGTACGCATCCGGTGCAGGAATTGTACTGACACTATAGATAGTGTCACCGGGCTGCCGCGGTAAAAACCTGAATAAAGGTTCGCGCAATCCCTTTTCATAGAGACTTATGTGTCGGTCATTGCCAGACACTTTTAGTTTATCCTGGAGTAAAACTCCGAGCGACATGAGGCGAATATTCAGGTCAGGTATATAGTAGACTGGAAATAACCGAGTGGTTATGTTCCCGACGTCCTTGATATAATAAGTTAGGACCGTCGTACCGAACCCAAGTATTCGTGCAAACCCGTTCGCGGTAGATGCGGTCGCAGGTTGCTTAAATTCCTCAAAGTCGATGAAGTCACTCATGTCATAAGTAAAATGCCGAGAGGCCCCCGAGTCGAGAATCCAGGTGTTACCCTGTTGTGCCTTATCTTTCCCCTTACATTTTGCACACGCAGCATAAGTTTGCGCATGAGTGCAATATATTAAAGCCAAAGTTACAGGACTCAAGTTAAGATCTACACTACGCTGCCCTAACTGTGATGGCGCGTCAGTGGAGTCCTGTAAAGGGGAAGATAGCACGTACGAGTAGTGCTCGTCAATAAAGGCATTCTGGTCGAAGCCAGCAGCCTCCGCGATAGTGCGGTCCAGGTCTT